GGGTGGTCAAAAAATTTCAGATTTTAAGTAAAATAATTTTGTTTTCTATGAAAAACTATTTTGACTTTTTTCTCTGAAATTATAATTTTGGGGCTTTAAAATAATTTTACGTACAAGTATAACCAGAACTAATTCCTAGGTTCAATTAGTTAAATTAAATCTGATTAAATTCCTAACTCAATTTGTATTGTACTTACTATCCTTAATAATAATCTTTAATATATAATAGACATTGATTAAAAGTTGAACTAGTTAATTTTATAAGTACCACCCAAATTCAAAATTGTAAATTTCAAATTTCAAATTTCAAATTTCAAATTATTAATTATCAAAATTCCAAATCTCAAATTTCAAATATTATGAAAACTGAATTTTAACAGTTGAAATATCAAAATAATTTGAGATTTAGGTGACATGTATTATACGTGTTGCCCAAATTCCAAATTACTAGTATTTGGGATTTGGGATTTGGGATTTCAGCAAAAAATACTAATCATAATTTGGGATTTGAGATTTGGGATTTCGGCATTTGGAATTTTGGCATTTGGATTTTGCATTTGGATGGCAGATATAATATGTATAGTTAATTTATTATAATTATATTAGAAATTAAATAAAAACATTTTATAATACTATATGAACACCATTTATATAGTATTTTTAAAATAGTATTAACATACTAGAACACAATGTTCTAGTGCATTATTTGAATATCTTGTACTTATAACATACTAAAATATAGTGTTTTAGTGTATTACTTAATGTTTTATACTTATAGCATACTAAAATATAACATTCTAATATGTTATTTGAACATTTAGTACTTATAATGTACTAAAACACAATGTTTTAATGCATAATTTGAATATTCTATATTTATAGCATATTAAAATATCTCTATAAAATTTCTAATATATTATAAAAATATTTTTTTTTGAATTTTCAATAAAAGTGATAACTTTCAGATTTAATATAAAGGCTATTACAAATTTTTTCAAAATTCTAAATATAAAAATAAGTATAATTACTAATTATTTTTATTATTTCTTTATTGATAAAATTCAAATAATATAAAATTATTTAAAAAATAACTCTTGTATAAGTTTTTTTTTTTTTTTAAGTTCCAACAAGGCTTTGTTTCAAATTTATTAATTAAAAAAAAAGAAAATCTTTTACATTACATAAAATTATATAATATAAAATACACAACTTATTTTAATATTTGTTTGAAAAGATGAGACTCAGACTAATTTATATAAGATGTGCCTGTAACTTATCACCTGCTAACTTTTGTATAAGTAAGAATATACAAAAAATATAAAAATATAATAAAAAACATTTATTAAAATGGAAAATTACAAAGATATTAAAATAAAATTAATAAAAATTAAAGTAATATATAAATAAGGTATAAAAAAATATAATAAAATATGTATATTATATACAGGTTATCTTAAAATACTAATATGTAAAAAAAAAATTCAAATAAATTTATAAAAAATATAGTAAAATGATTAATTTCAAATAAAAAAATTTATAATAAAAAAATAAAATATTATAAAGATTGATATAATAAAAAGAACATGTTAGTTTAGAAAATTATATAATTATATTGTTGATTTTATTTTTTTATATATTTATTATTTTATCATTATCATTATTATATTTTATTAGCATATTTTATTAGTTAGATTTTTTTATTTGTATTACATTTATATTAGAATTATTATTGTTTATAAGTAACAGATATAGATCATTTTTATAACTAATTGTAATGTGAGGTCAATACCTCTGGTTGACACCTCTAATTAATACCTCTAGTTGACATCTCTAGTAAATACTTTTGACATAAATAACTCATTAACAAAAATAACTTATAGAATATTCTGGAATGTGACAGAAATTTCTGGAGCTTTCTTGAGATTAATAATTATAGTCTTATAATAGAATAGTAATTTTGTATAAATAGAAGTAACTTTTGTCCTTAGTGAAAGGACAGTTAGAACTTGATTATATTCTGAACTTGATAATTATAATGAATTATTAATAAAGTCTTCGTGACAAATAATAATTCAACCCTTTGATTTCTTAGTAAAATATTTTCTTAACAATATCCTATTTTGTGATCTCATTTATAATTAATCTTGTTTCATGACCTGAGTTAATTACATTAATTCTGTATGAATTATTATAGTTTCTAAGTAAAACTTGTAATATTCTTTATAAATATCTGTAAACTTAGTATAAAACTCTATACCCTTTTAAATCTTCACACTTTTAGTTTCTTTTGAACCAACCCACAACACCAAATCTTTTACTTCTTATACTCCTCTATAGTATAAACCTTTCAATTTTAACATATTTGTCTAATTGCTTTATAATCTTTTAGACAATAGTTTTTCTGTAATTAGTTGTTAGTTTATTGTGTTTAGTAAAGATAATCATGGTCAACAATATTTAGAAATAATTAATTAAGAAGAAAAAATAGAAAAATAATCAAAGGTAGTCATAATTAAAATTTTTCAAAGAATATATATTTAGAATTAAAATAAAACAATATTATTTTATTTTTATATTAATGAAACTAATTTTACTAAAATTAATATTGATCTTGTAATATTTATTTAAATGAATACTTAATTTCCTTAACAATTAATAATTGTTCTCTTACAAATAATCTATTAGATTTATTATTCCCATTTTTATTTATAAGTTAATATAATTAATATTTAAAGCAAGTTTAAAAAAAATCAACTTGATTAAGTTTATATTTTAAAATCAACTTAGTCAACTTAGTTAACTAAAGTCAAAATTTTTTAATATAAAAAATAAGAATATCATAATTAGTTGAAACTAAACAATTCATAATTATCTTATAATAAAATTATACAATACATTATACAGGTATAGTTATCATGTGATTTACTAATTATATTAGAGTTATACAATTGATTATACAAAAAATAATAGATAAATAATAGAACTATAACAGATATTGGTTAAAAAGATTACTTTATATAATATCAACTTAACTAATTCTCAAAAAATCATCTAACTAAGTTAACTAGTTTTCTTAATAAAAAAAACTTTTGAATACCAATTTATATTGTTATTCTTTTTTATCAAATTCTAATTCATCAAGTTCAAGAAGATATAAAATTAAATCTTTATAAGTTAATTGAAATTTATTGTAACCAATAGGTCTTTAATGTTTAATTAAAAGATTAGTATTTATTTTTTCATCTTTTAATGTTTATTTTACAATTTATTAAGTGATATATAAATTAATCAAGTAGAAGTATTATAATAAATATCATTATTAATGTGAAGATCTTTAATTCAGAATTGACAACTTTCAGATGTAGATAAAAAAAAAATCAACAGCATCTTGACAAATATAAGCATGTTTTTCAAATTCTTGATAATTACATTCAGCTATTAATGTAATACATTTAGATTTAGTTTTATAATTTTTACACTATAACTAAGTAATAAATTTTTATATTCACCTAAATATTTAGTATCTTTATTTACAATTAAAACTTTAGGCCATGTAAATTTATTTATTGATGATAATCAAAATGCTATTATAGAAATGAATAAAAGATACAAGGATCTAATATTTATTACATAAAAATAGTGTTAATAATTTAAAGGAAGAAAAATTTTATGAAATTTTTTAAGGAATATAAGCAAATGCAAATTAATCAAGTAATTAATTTAGATAAAAGTCTAATCTGAAAGACAAGAATAATAAGTTATACTTATTCCACTTATTATCTTATGTTTATTAAATAATTAAAAGAAAGACATGACAAAAATAAAATAAAGTGGATTGTGATACTATTGTGATATTCAGCAGTTTGAACCTTGAAACCTTGCTGTGACATTATGTTTAATTTGTCTGGTTTTGTTACAGCATATCTTATATAGCAATATAATTCTATAATATACAATTAATGTTTCTAACAGTATGCTTTTTGAATATTTTAAAAAGAATAATCAAAATTTAAGGATCCATATCAATAAATCTATTTGTGCATTATTTACAAAATTTATCAAAATGTGAAACTTGTTTTAATTTTGGCAATGTAAATATAGTAATAATAATTAATTGTTTCAATAATAATAAATAATCAAATGAATTTTTTTTTAATTTTTTTTGTTGCCTTACTTGGTTTGTAATTTTTGTAATTTCTATAATTAAATAAAATAATAAATAATAATAAATAATAAATAATAATAAAATAATAATATCATAATAATAAATAATAATATCAAAATAATAAATAATGACAGAATTAAATTATTTTTTTTATCAACGTGGTTTTTCAAAGATGGAATAGTTCCTCATGTAAATTACTAAAATAACTAAAATAATGATATTATATATTCCTAATCCTAACAATTTCAATTTCTATTTATTAATGTTCTCTCTTTATTTATTCTAATATTCTGTTAGTTACTACTATTACTACTAACAACGATTTTCTTTATTTATCAAGTTTCTATTACTAATGTGTTCTATTTTATTTCCAATTTTCAAAGATAAAGAATACGACGAATATAGAAAAAATGTATATAATTTGTTTTAAACATAAAACTATTGTATTATTGACATATATATGTTACAATGACCACTAAAATCGATTATTAACATTTTTTTGATTTATTGATTATATTGATTATGTATATTGACTATATTTTACTATATTTTGATTATTTTGACTTTAAATACTCGGAACAACAAATCCAAGATCTTTTTTAATTTATTTAATTTATTTTACATTAAATATATATTTATTTATATTTTTAATCTCAGCTGGACAGATCATGTGTTTGGTTTAGAATGAAGCACTAGTAGTACAGCTAAGCAATAACCAAAGCATATCATATGGAAAAAATTGAAATTTAACTCCAATTAATTAATTATTTGTTTTTTTTTTTCGAAAGATTTTCTTTATTATTTCTTTATTATCGTTACTATCATTTGTTCAATGATGTCAAGTAAACGTCGACAACCCGTTTCTGCTAATAACCCGGAAACAAAATCCCATAGTACTCATAATAATATGTCTACACATAATCCCATCAATGGAATAAAGCCTGGTGAGTCAAGTTCTTTGCGCAGTAACCAGTAATCTGATATTAATCTACTATTAATCTGCTACAATAAATATATTGAAAATAGACTAAAACATATTAAAATTTAGTGAAAATTATATTAAAAACATTAAAAATCTATTAAAAAATATATTAAAATTTCTACATCTCAATTTATTTTTCGGAATAAGGTGAAGCCGATCCACTTAAAGTGATCAAAGTAGTCGCTAGTGATGGAAAAACAGGAGACGATTTTGACTTATCTTATACTGTTACCAAAGTCATTGGAAACGGTTCCTTCGGAGTAGTGTTTCAAGCGAAATTAACTAATACTGGTGAAGATGCCGCAATTAAAAAAGTACTTCAAGATAAACGCTTTAAGGTTAGGCAAAAAAAAAAGAAAAAGGAAAAGGTGGTTCAAAATAAATGAATCAATAAATAAATAATAATATATTGAAAAAAATCTCTATTTTACTTTCTTCAGAATCGTGAACTTCAAATAATGAGATTGGTATCACATCCTAATATAGTTGATTTAAAGGCCTTTTTCTACTCTAGTGGAGAGAAGGTAATTTTAATCGTTAAAATATTTATATTTGTATATAATATCATAATTTAGATATAATATCATATTTATTTTTATATATATATATATATATATATATATATAAAATATCGTATAATATATTTTAATATATATTTTTAATTTATTTATTTAGAAAGAAGAAGTTTATCTAAATCTTGTATTAGAATACGTTCCCGAAACAGTTTATCGAGCTTCTCGAGTGTACGCTAAAAGCAAACAAACAATGCCCGTGCTTTTTATAAAACTTTATATGTACCAGTTATTCAGGTCACTTGCCTATATCCACTCTCTCGGTATTTGTCACCGTGATATTAAACCACAGAATTTATTATTGAATCCGTCCACAGGAGTTTTAAAATTATGTGACTTTGGTAGCGCCAAAATCCTAGTTGCCGGTGAACCAAACGTATCATATATCTGTTCAAGATATTATAGAGCACCAGAGTTGATCTTTGGTGCAACGAATTATACAACGAATATTGGTAAATATTATTTTTTATGCATTTTTTTTTTATCAATTTTAATTGACATATTTTTACCTTAATAAATATAAATAATTTGATGATTTATTTATTTTAATTAATAATTTAATTTAGATGTCTGGTCAACAGGGTGCGTTATGGCAGAATTAATGCTTGGACAACCTTTATTCCCTGGAGATAGTGGAATTGATCAATTAGTAGAAATTATTAAAGTTTTAGGAACGCCTACACGTGAACAAATAAAAACCATGAATCCAAATTATATGGAACATAAATTCCCTCAAATTAAACCTCATCCATTTTCAAAAGTAATTTTTATATTCTCTTTTTTTTTTTCTTTGTGAATATAATATTTATTTTAATAAATATTTATTTTAATAAAATATTTATTTTTAATTATAGGTTTTTCGAGCCAGAACACCACCGGAAGCAATCGATCTCATAGAACGTCTTTTAGAATATACCCCTTCCAATCGATTAACGGCTATTGAAGCAATGTGTCATCCATTCTTTGATGAACTTAGGAATCCTGAAACGAGACTTCCTACAGGGAAAGATTTACCAAAACTTTTCGATTTTACTCGACAAGGTAATTTATTCAATAATAAATTCATTTATTTTTAATATAATTTAATAAAAATTCATTTATATAATTTAATTTAATAAAAATTCATTGTTTTTTTTTGGTTATTTATAGAGTTATCTATTCGACATGAACTTATTCCTAAACTTGTACCACGACACGCTGAATCTGAACTTCGTTCAAGAGGAATTGATATTCATAATAATTTTAAACCATTGTCACAAAATCAAATGCGTGCAACTTTGGATTAACATGAAAATAAAAGAAAAAAAGTTGATGAATAATAACCAATAGACGATTGAATATTATTGAATGAATGAGTGAGTGAATAAATATAGATGATGAATCATAATAGACAAGTAACGAGTAATGAATGAGTGAATGAATGATTTATTTCATAGAAAAAAAGTCAAGGAAAAGTAAAAGAAAAAAAAAAGAAGATATATATATATAACATATAAAATATAATATATATAAATATAACATATATCTATATAATTAGATTAGAGAACATTTTAATTGAATTTTTCTTTTACTTCTCCTTTATCCTTTTTTTTTTTTTATGGTTTTATTTGATGATGGATTCACTTTTTTTTTCATTTATAATTATAATTATTATTATTATTACAAAGTAATTAATGGGAATTATATTACAGTTTTAATTCCTTTTTTTGAAATGACATTGTTGTTTATAATTTTCATTTTTTTCATTTTCTCTTTTTTTTTTTTTTTTTTTTCTTTTTTTTTTCTTGTTTAATTACTTTTTTTATATTTTTCTTGTTACATTCTCTTGTTATATTCTTTTGTTATATTTTTTCTCTTCCTTCCTCCTTTTCTGCATACTATTATTACTATTACTTCTACTACTATTATTTTATTATTATTTTATAAACAAGACTAAAAAACAAGATTACGTTCGTTGAGAGATTATATATTATATATATATACTTTGTGTTTTTGAGTGTTTTTTGTGCTTTTTTTGAGCGTTGGTGGGTTGTAATTAAGAACATTATATTATCATTTTATTACTTATTTTTTTATTATTTTTTTTTCTATTATAATTGGAATAATCGATTTTATAATTGATTTTTTTTTATAATTGGTAAAATTGTTAAATGAATTATTAAAAAAACAAAACAAAAAAATGTAATGAGATTTGTTTATTATTTAATGTTAATAATTCATTTATCTTCAGTATCGATTCTATTTTTCTTTTTTTACTTAATATTTTAATATATCTTAATAGGTAGGCATTTATTCTTTTTTTTTGCATTGAACAATTTTTTCTTCTTATACACATTCTTTGTTTCTTTCTTTCTTTCTATACATACATATATAAATATATAAATAAATTTATAGAATAACGCAGAGATATATTTTTTTCTTTTTCTTAAAACGTTGGCTTGTACGTTTTACTTTTTTTTTTATTCTTAATGTTACTCTTCCCCACTATTAATTTACAACAACTATTACTCTTTCCCTATTAATTAAAATTCCTTTCTTTTTTCTTTTAATTAATACAATATATAATACATATACAAAATATATTGAAATATAATACTGATTGATAAGAAGACAATTTCATTATTATTATTATTATTATTATTATTATTATTACAATATATATATACAAGTAATAATTCTCTCTTTCAAAAATACAAAAAATAATAATTATATCAAATAAAACAAAATATTATAATATGTTAATATATATACACGTGTGGTCCTTGATATTATTTATTTAAAATCTAACAATTAATTCTTGACTTAAAAATACTTAAAAATGATTATAATAATAATAATAATGTGAATAAACCTTAAATAACTTTAAAGCCATAGAACAACTTACTATTAAAAATCTTTTGATTTATTATTGGAATATGCCCTATTTTTTGATTTTTTAAAAAATAAATAAATATAAATATCATTGAATTCAAAGGAAATTATAATATAACCAAATAAAGGTTAATTATTATTATTATCATTATCATTATTATTATTATCATTAAAATATGGCTCAGAATAATATAATAAAACCATGTATAGCTGATAAAAGCACGTCTTCAAGACTAATCGAATTTTTTTTTTTAATTAACATCTTTGCCAATATGCAACATTCATTCTTTTAAAATTCTTAATACATAATAACTATCATTCTTAGTTAATATTAGTAATAAAATTATGAAATACCTATAAAAAAAATTTCTTCTCTTGTAACGATCGATCAGAAAGAAAGATAAATATAACGTGTCACTTATACACATCACTCATCATCGTACAACATGACAAATTATTTGAATCAATTTAATAGGTCCCTTTTTTAATAAAAATATCTACAAAATCTTTTACATATAAATATTCAGATTGATTTTACACGATTTTCTACTAAGGTGTTCTTAGTGTCATTTGAAAGCTCTCATTTCAAATTTCATAATGTTAATTATTTTATAGTTTTAAATATCGATATCCATTGAGTTATTACTGCCCAAAGACAACATATTAAAAATAATTATTAATAATTACTATAAAGGTTTGTATATAATGTTTTATTTATATATATATAATCATCTGTAGCTAAAAAGATAAAATCAGATTGTTTTTTATAATTAAATAAAGAAATAATTAGAATGAATCCAATTAATATTCTTGTAATTCAAGAAAAAATATTAAAAATCCCAATTATTATTATTATATTTTATTATTATTATTATATTTATTAATTACATTTAATAATTTCAATTTACAAGTTTCAATATTGAATATAACATTTATCAAAATTTTGTAGGTCTTTATTGTATTTACTGGTTGAATAAAGAAATTTACTAAGACTTAATATAAATATATGAAAAAATAAAAAAGAAAGATTATGAATCTGAAGATTTTCAATCTTCTCTATTATCTTCTTTGAAATAAATACAAATAGGCAAGGAGATTTGTGAATGATTTGCAAACAAACAAGGTATACCCAAATAATTGGTAAATATTTGTAAATTATTTACAAATAAGCTACATTAAAAATTTTGTTTATTATATACTCTAATTTTATTTTTATCCATTTTAATATTTTTTACAAATAATTTCAAAAAATTCAAGAGAGATGTTGTTGTCACTCATTTATAATAATTATTGCTGATATAATTATCATTATATAAAATTTATAAGTACAATTCAAAATTTAAATTATTATATAGCTGATTTTTATTATTTAATATGTAATTATATAAGGTTCCGGTAAGTTGTATTTGAAATTTTTTTTAATAATAAAGAGAGTTTTATTTGTAATATTTTCATATTAATTTATTAATAAACAATTATACAAAAAATCAAGAAAATAGAATCATGTATCACTAAAAGTATTAAGATAATCAGAATTTGAAACATTAATGAAAATTATGCATAATTAACCTACTACAGGACATTTGGAAATAGAAACAACATATAACAAAATAAAAGAAAAATATTATTGGAACCAAATATATAATGATATTAAAGAGTATATCAGAACATGTGACACTTGTCAAAGATTTGAAAAACTTGAAAGAAATGAATACAACTATTTGAAAGAATAGATATAGATATAGTAAGACCATTACTTGAAACTATAAACAAAAATAAATACATGGTAGTAACAATTGAATATCTTATCAAATGGGTAGAAGTAAAGATATTAGATAAAGCAATTGTAGAAAATGTAGTTAATTTTGTATTTGCGAAAATAATATGTAGATATAAAACATCAAAGATAATATCAACAGATCAAAGAAGTTATTTTAAAAATAAGATGATGAAAGAATTGTGTGATAAGTTTAGAATCAAATATAAATTATCATCACCTTATCATCCTCAAACAAATGGATTAGTAAAAAGATTTAATAGAACACTAATAACCATGTTGACAAAAACAAATGATATATTTAATTGGAATTACACATACCTTCAATATTATTTGTCTACAGAACAGCTAAATATAGTACAACTAAATATACTTCATTCTATTTAAACTATGGATGCAACCCTGTATTATCTCTGAAATTAGAAGATAAATAAGAAGATAATAGAGAGATAAATTTAGAAGATTTAATATTAAAAAGGATATATGAAATAGAAGAAATGTTACCACAATATTAACAAAAAACCAGGAAACTAATCAAATTATCTTAAAAAAAGTCATAGAGACAACATAAAGATATGAAAATGAAAAAGGAAATTTATTATCAGAAAGGAGATAAAGTATTATTGTATGACTTAAGATTAGATAAACAATGGTCAGGCAAACTTGATAAGAAATAGAAGAGACCATTTACAGTAGAGCAAAGATTAGATAAAGGAAGTTATATCTTATCAAATAAATTTGAAAATTTAAAAGAACCAATACATTCTGATAGATTAAAGTTATTTAAAAGTAGAGAATCATGGGAACCATTAATAAGAATCTAAAAAATATATAAGGAAAAAGATAAAAACATATGGTTAAAATAATTTAATAAAAGTAACAAACAATAAATAAAGATAAAAGATGGTAAAGAATAGTTGATTAAAATAAGAGATAACAAGATGTAATACAGGAACACCAAGATAAACAAATGAAGAATTATAAAAAAGTTGAAAATTTAACCAAGACAAATAACTTATCTTCAATGAAAAAAATTCTGAATAATAAAAGACCTGAAAATAAAAATCAGATTTTTAAAAAATCACATTTAAAAAATAATAAATTAAAAAATCTAAATAAATCTTTACAAAAAGAAACTTTAAACTTAAAAAAAAGAAACCATGACTTATAAAAGAAGATTTGAATCCTCAAATTACAACTCAGAATGATATATTTCTGAATCTTGCAATAGATATGGAGAAAGACTACTCAATATTCTCAAGTTATTAATATTGACAAAAGATGTGACAATTCAAGATACTGAAGAAATTATTCAAAAGAATGTGGATGTTAAAGAATCCCTATATATAAAATGTCCTTAAGACAAAAAAAAAGAAAAAGATCTTGATTGGAAGTATTATACACATTACTGCTTTTGTAAAAGAGTAACTAGATTAAGAGATCTCTTTCTATTCAGTATTAATAATCAATAGTATGGAAGGTGTTGGGAATACCAGAGAAAAGGTAAAGAATATATTTCTGAAAGAGAAAAACTATATGAGTTTAGAAGGTCTCAAATAGAAAAAAAAGAAGGAACATAAAGTTTTGAATCTGAAACAGTAAAAAAAATAAAGATAAACCTTTCTAAAGTAGAAAAGAATATATATACCAAAAGACCAATTTATAATTCAAGAAAAAACAACTGTAATGAAGAATTAAGTAAGAAATAATTGACTGGACCAAAAATTTAAAAGAAGAAATCTTGAGAAAAGCAAATTTTGATATTAAAGGTAAAACTAAGAATATCAGTTGAAGAGAACATGAAAAAGCAACACAAAACAAGTACTGTACACCAATGTATTAATATTTCAATTACAAAAAATTAAAAGATGAAGTAAAACATATATTTGATATTAACTTAACTATAATTCATGACTGAAAATGTTGTTCCTATGGAGCAGTAAAATGTGATGAGACAGGAATTGAATATCAAATTTGTACTTGTTATAGAGAAATAAATAAATACTGTTTCAAACATAATCATAAAACAAACTCCTGCAACCGTAAATCCAAAGTATTCTAGAAAGTAAAACCATTTTCTGAAGAAAAATGTAGATGGAAATAATACATATATTATGAAGAATATCTTTATTGTGAACATTTATATTAGATTGATGTCTTGAACTCTTTCTGCTGATCATTAAAATCATAATTTTCAGAGAAAAGAAAAACATAAAAACAAGTAAACAGCTTTAATAAAAATGCTCCTAGATATTAAAAAAAATCTAAAACCAAAAAGGCCATTAGTCAAAATACAAATAACAAGAAAAAATTAAAGAAAAATCAAGAAATTATTGAAAAAACTCAAGAAAAAGAAATTAATGAAACCCAAGAAATGGAAGAAGAAGAGATTATAGACAAAAATCAAAACCAAGAAGAAAAACAAGATATCATACAAAAACAAGTAAAAGTAGTAATTGGAAATAGTAAAAATAATAGACAAAATCAAGAAAATGAAAACCAGGGAAAAATAACAAAGAGAAAGAGAAGACAAGAGAAGATATAGATGAAGAAAATCCATCGGATCCCAAATTAATTAACTCAAACAATGAGAAAACTTATTAGATCAAGAAAAAATAGAAAGTAGAAGTAAATATTAAAAGGTATAAAGTATAGATTGAAACAAACATCTTAAGTAGTAAAGGAACCAAAGAAAAAGTTGATAAACTAGTAAAAACCATAGGAAAATTCATTAATAAATTACAATTTCAAGGAAATTAAATAAAATAAATAAAAAATTATATACAACTATAACATTTTCCAGTAAAAAAAATATGGAAAAAACTTTAGAAATTGAACTTTAAATCACAGAACAAGGAAAAATAACAAAAATGGAAAGAGCTCCTATTCTACAAACAAGAATGTAAAGAAATATAAACAATACTGTGAAATTATAGGATATACCAATTAAGTATAGTTACCAAAATATAAATAAAATGATTAATAACCAATATGGTCAAATTAAGAAAACAAGAATAAGAGTAAACGGATTATATATAACTTACTGGATTAATTTTCAAGATTTACAAATTGCATATAAAATCTTTATCCAAAAGATAATAATCTTAAGAAAAGAATATTTGAGAGTAACACCAACTAGCATTATATATCAATAATTAATAGAAATACAAAAAATACAACCTGCTACAAAAATAGTTAGAATACCACCAGAAATAATCTCCAGAGAATTAATGATCATGCTTTAACAATCGGGAGCTGAAACATACTATATGCCAATTAACTCAAGAGCTAATAAAAGAGGAATAGCATTTATTACCTTCCTATCAAAAAAAACATGCAACAGAATTTTTAAAAAGAAGTGTAATTATAAGTAGATACCAATTAATTTCTTTATCAAAATTTACAAAAACCTGTCACATGTGTAAAGCTCATGATCACCTGATCACTAAATGTCCAATAACCTTATAAAAACCATGATATTTAAAATACATCAGCTTGCCAAAAGTATCCAGACAGCTATTTTTTATCAAATTTTTTTAAAAATTTCAAGGGTGAATTCTGGCACAATGAATAATTTAAATTGACAAATTTTTTTTTAAAAGAATTTCCAAATTAAGGGGCTATCATATGATATTTTATTTATTCAAATTGGATATCTACTTGTTTTAAAATCTTGTCTTAAATAAAAGTTACCAAAAATATTAAATTAAATTGTTAATGAAATCTCTTTCGATTTCAGTAACTATCTACTAGAAGTACCTATTATCTTATAAAAAGTTATAATTCTAAACTAAATCTATAACTTTTATTAGTATCATATTTTATATTTTCTAGTGAAAATTAGAACTTACTTAGATATAACTAAAAAATACTTGAAATTATTATTGATCATTTACTGTTTAAAGAAAATTATCAAGTGTTGTTACATAAAAAAAAAAATCTTTCTTTTTTTTTACAAAAATGGAAAAATCCACAGTAAAAAAAAGAAAAATTAATAGAGTTTTTTTTATTCTCTTTTAAATAAAAGCAAAAAAAGACCAACAAACATGACAGATAAGAAAAATAAAAATAAGAATAATATAATAGGAACGACAACAAGTATTATAGAAATGGTTAAAAAAAATAGAAAAAGAATGTAATATAAGAATGCAACAGTTTCCATGGAAGAAGACCTGATAGCAGAAGCAAGCTCATCAAATTCAAGTATTAAAATTTTTCAGAAAGATATGAAACAAGATATAAAAATAACTCCATCAAAAGAAGCAACTCTAGAAAGAGAATATCAACAAGAAAATGAAGAAATAAAGAATATTAACACAATAAAAGAGATATCAATTGAAAAGGTACAACTTAATAACTAAATGATAAAAATATTAGAAAAAGGAAAAAACAAAGAACAAGAAATAACATCAAACTAAGGTTTTATTACAATAAATAAAGGAAAAGAGAAGGAGAAGATAATAATCAAAATGAAGGCAGAGAAAAAGAGAAAAATGACAAAGAAAATAATATAGATAATAATAATTCAATAACCTTAATTGACTCAAATCTATCAAAATATAAAAAATAGAGAATAGAAACTAATGTCAAAAGATATAAAACATAGGTGAAAATCAATAATATTAAAGAACAAAATATAAAAGAAAAAATAATATTTTTATTAAAAAAATTTAACGAAAAAGTAAATTGGATAAATTTATCACAAAAAAAAAATCCTAATAAAAAGGGGATACACTTAATTCTGACTTTTGAAACAGAAGAAGATCTTCAAAAAGCTTTACAAATAGAAATCTAAACAAATGAATAAAACAAAACAGTTAAAATAATACAAGTAAAGGGTGCAGCTAAACCTTAGGGTTTAGAAAAAAGTCAAAACTGAAATTGTTCTAAAGGAGGTTTAGCCCTTTATATAATTTACCCAAATTCTGAAATTCTTAAACTTTACCCAAACCTCTGAAACTATTTTAAACCTCCTAAACTATCCTAAATCTCTTGCATCTCCAGATTAAATTGATATAACTAAAAAAAATTTTTTTAATAATTAGTTTTTTTTTTAAAAAAAACTTAACTTTTCTTAATAATAAACTTACTTTTCTTCTTCTTACTTCAGAAATAAGTTTAAGAATTTGTAAAAAGGCAAAAATCAGATGCGTAGAAATTGGGTGCACAGATATATATATAAAGATAAATTTTTTATTTTTATTTTTTTTATTCTTAAATAAAAATAAAAAAAAAATACTTACACTTATTACCTTTCTCCTCTTTCTCATCTTGGAAATAAGTTTAAGGGTCTGTAGAGACATTTATGAAGGTAGAAATTGGATTTATAAGCTTGCGTGGATGTATTATATAAAGGTAAGTTTTTTATTTTTATTTTTTTTTTATTTTTAATAAAATAAAAAAAAAATACTTACCTTTTTCTTATTTTTAATAAAATAAAAAAAAAATACTTACCTTTTTCTTTCTTTATTGCCATTCTTCTCTTGAAAATATATTCAAGGGTTTATAGAAACACTTGTGAAAGCAGAAATTAAGTTCGTGAATTCGCGTGGATATATTATACAAAGATAAGTTTTTTTTATTATTTATTTATTTTTATCTTTTTATTTTTAAATAAAAATAAAAAAATATACTTACCTTGCTGTTTCTTTATTATCTTTCTCCTTCTTTCTTTGAAATTGAGCTCACGAAATATTTGTGAAAGTAAAAATCAGATTTGAGAGTTTATACAAACATAACAGTAAGTTTTTTTTTATTTTATTTTAAATAAAAATGAAAAAATATACTTACTTTTTTCTTCTCTTATTATCTTCCTCTATAATTAAGCTTGTGAGGACACTTATAAAGATGGAATCAGATTTTTAATTTTATTTTTTTATTTATAAAAATATATTTACCTTGTTTTTTCTTATTACTTTTCTTCTTTTTTCTCTGGAATTAAGTTTGTGAGGTGAAAATTGGATTTGTAAACTTGTGTAAATGTAGTAATAGGTTTTTTTTATTTTTTTATTTTTTTTTAAATAAAAATAAATAATATATTTCTCTTATTACTATTTTACAATTGTAATTTTGAAGATAATATTGACTTTAATTATATAGTCTTAAGTTTTATTGAAGATAATTTTTATTTTATATAATAATAACTTTAAATTTATTTTTTATAAAAATATACTAATAAAAATTGATACGTATACTATATTATTTAAGATAGTATAACCTTTGTAACCATGATAATCTGACAAATATTAAGAATTTTTTTGAATTTTTTTGACAAACAAATATACTTTAAGAATTTTTTTTAACAAATAATTATCATGTATAAGGAACAAGAACAAATTGAACAAGAAGAATTAATTGAGCAAGAAGAATAAATAGAACAAATAAAACAAAATAAACAAATAGAACAAAATGAACAAAGAGAAATAATTCAAACAAATAAAGGAGGTAAAGCAAAATCTATAGTATAAGGAATATATATTAAACAAGAAAAACAGATTTCAAAAGGTCATTATAATATTATTTGTAATTTTTACAAAAAATATTGACATAAAGGGTTATCAGAAGAATGTGAAAATCATTTAGTAAACTTATGTCCAAAAGTATTATCAGAAGTTCAAGATTTATTTTTAAAAAAAAATAGTAAAAGATAATTTAAAAAAAAAAACTTAACGAAAAACAATTATAAACAAAAGTTAGTGATTTTATTGAAAGTATAAAATTAACTGATGAAAAAATTAAAGATATTAATCATGTATTAGTTAAAGCTTTTGTAGTATGTGAAATATCATGGAAAATAATTGAGAATCTTTTTTTTATTGAACTTCTTAAAACATTATGTTCAGTATATACATCTCCTTCAAAAAAATTCTTTCTGATAGATTATTAATTCAAGAAATAACTATTACAAATCAAAAAGTTATTACAGAAATAAATAGTCAAGACAATTTAACTTTATGTAAGTTATTATATTATTTTTTTTCATATATATATATATAATAATAATAATAAATATTATTAATAAATATATATTTAGCTTATGATGATTGAACAAATCTATCAGGCGAATCTATTTGAAATTTTGTTATTCATACTTCAAATTATTATGAATATCTTTGGTCACTTAGAAATTTAACTAGTGAACATTATACAAAAGAACTTTTAGCTGAAGAAATAGAACATATAATTGATTATTTTGATTCAGAAAAATTTATAGCAATTGTTATTGATGCAGGAGTAAATATTCAGACAGCTCGTATTATAATTACTTCAAAATACAAATATATATTAAATGTAAGATATATTATTTATGCAATAAATCTTATTTCCAAAAATATTTGTAAAATACCATTTGCTAATAAAATTTTAAGACATTATAATACTTTAGTTACATATTTTAAAAATAGTCATAGAGCTGATAAGTAATTTATAGTCATTTATAATTTTAAAAAATAAATTATTTAAATAATTTAAATTATTTAGGTCAAATACTTAAAAATATTATAAATGAAAAAACAATTAAAGGAGGTGGTTTAAAATATTGGATTGAAACTCATTGGCATATTATGTATGATTGTGTTTTTTCAATTTCAAGACATAAAATTCCTTTGGAAATTGTAAATATTATTTAAATTTTAAATTATTATTTATATATTATTTATTTAAATTTTTTAAATTATTTAATATATTTATTTTAAATATTAATATTTATTTTTATTTATCAATATTCTAATTAATATTTATTAAAATAGATGAAACAAGATCATATGAATTTGCTTTCATTACCTGTACTTACTATTTTAAGAAGTCATGCATTTTTTGATGATGTATATGCATTATCTTTTATATTATATCCAATCAAAAAATTAATTATTAATTTGAAATCAAAATATTGTATTCTTTATAATTGTTTTATTAAATTGGCTCAATTGGATTCTGCATTAAAAAACCTATCAGATTTAGATCATAAAATATTTAAACATCAATCTATTAAAATTTTTAACAAGCGATTTAATAAATTTAATGATAATATTTATTTATTGTATTTTTTTTTACATTCTAATTATGATAGTTTGTAATTTATTTTATTTATTTATTATTTAAATATATTTTTTAAATATATATTTATTAATTAATATTTTAATTATAGAACAAATATTTGCATGTGAAATTTTTTGTAAAATATTACTTTTTGCAGATAATATTTATGAAAATATGGATAAAACAAAAAAAGAATAAGATACTTTAATATCTCAATTATATAAATATCAAAAAAGATTAGCTCCATTTGATATTTCTTTTATTAATAATAAACTTCCTCAAGTTTGGTGAATATTAATTAAAGATTTTTTTGTTAAAAATAAAGATTATATTTGTTAACTTGTAATGAAACTTTTTGCAATTACTCTTTATACTACTGGATATGAAAGAATTTGATTAAAACTTGAATAGTATTATGGAAAAAGAAGAACTAGTCTTTCTTTAGATAAACTTGAAAATATATAAAAATTAATTGTATTTTATATTTCTAATATAAAAAAAGAATTAACATATTGTGGTAGCAGTAAAGTGACAAAAGAATTACAAAAAATAATATATGATATATAGTTATTTAATAATGAAAATGATATTAATGAAAATAATAATTATGAAAATATTAATTTTGAAGAAGAAGATAGACTTGAAATTAAAGATTTAATTAATTTAGATATAAAGATATTTGAAACAAATAATGTTTTTGTATATGTTAATAATAATAATTTTATTGGAATAATTGAAAATAATGAAAATAATGAAAATAATAATAATATCAAATATGAAAATTAGGATTCCAATGAAGTTGTAAATAGATATCTTGATGATTAATTAATAATATATATTTTTATTATTTCTAATTATTTATAATAATTAATTATAAATTTTTTTTATTATTAATAATATTATATATTTGATTTTTATTTTTTATAATATTATAATTAATATTTTATTTAATAAAATATATATTACAATATTAAATAATTATTTTAAAATATTATAAAAAAAATTAAATAAATTTTAATTAATTTAAATATGATTTAAAATTTAAATAATTTAAAAAATTTAAAAATTTAAAATAGTTTAAAAAGTTTAAGACAATTTAAAAAGTTTAAAATAGTTTAAGAAATTTATAATAATTTAAAAAATTTAAAATAGTTTAGAAAATTTAAGATAATTTAAAAAGTTTAAAATAATTTATAAAGTTTAAAATAGTTTAGAAGATTTAAAATAATTTAAAAAGTTTAGGAAGTTTAGGATAATTTAGAAAATTTAGAATAGTTTAGAGAGTTTAGAATAGTTTAGAAGATTTAGGATAGTTTAGGAGATTTAGAATAGTTTAGGAGGTTTAGAATAATTTAGGAGGTTTAAAATAATTTAGGAAGTTTAGGATAGTTTAGAAGGTTTAAGCAAAAGGTTTAAGACTAAAACAAAATTTTGAAAAATTTAAGAATTTAAAAATAGGTTTAACCCCACCTTTTAGTTTTAAAAAGTAAAACCAAATAGATAAAAATAACTTCTTTTACCCATGTCCATAGTCCTTCTAGACACTACTTACTTATTAAGTTTTATTCAATTATTAAATGACATCTCTGGTGTTATTGAGTAAAATGGACCATCTTCCTTCTCAAAAAGCTCGTTGAACAGAATATCTTCAGGATTTTTGATTAGATCAATACTAATATAGTCAAATAGCTTCGACTTTACTTTATGCACTTCCTCTAATGACACAAGAACACAGTCTTCAAAAAAAGAAACTTGAGTAGAATCATGAGAAAAAACTACTGTTATAAAGTATTATACATGGTATAAAGATATAGCATGACATACATGTTAATCATTTACTAAATTAAATAAATAAAAATAGTATGAATTATATTGTTTAATCATATTCGACAAATTTGCATATAATCACATGGTAACGTGATCACATTTTGAGTTTATATTATGATAACATGATCCTTCTGTGAACTAATTATATCAAAGCACGAGGTTATAGTGTATACCTGCCACCCAAATTCAAAATCCAAATGCTGAAATCCCAAATGCCAAAATCCCAAATCCCAAATCCTAAATTATGATTAGTATTTTTTGCCGAAATCCCAAATCCCAAATCCCAAATGATTTGGGATTTGGGCAACACGTATATTTTTGATAGAAGAAATAAAAGTGGTCCTTGTTATTATAAATACATTGAGATCATCATTAATTACATTACTTTTACTTGTTTTGTTAATTATCATTACTGTATAAATTATGTTTATTGCTAGAAGCTGTCATACAATGACTAAACCTATATTGAATAGTTGGAAAAAAATAAAAAACAAAAATAATGATATATATAAAGATACAATATCTCTAATTCAATTATAATAGTGAAGTTAGTAACTTGTTACATATTTTTATATCAATATGTAAAAAATGAAACTATTTCTTATGAATATGGATGAAATTAATAAACATATATTATTTTAATATATTAGATATTCATCAATATCATAGTTATTCAAAAAGTTACTTATTAGAAGTAGTGTTACAAAAAAAACAAATTTACTTCAAACCTTGTTCTTGGAAATAAAGTTGAATATATATACAAGAGTAAAAAAGGTAAATTCAGATATATATGGATAATGATTTGATAATATATAGTTATTATCCTAATAAGCTGAAATAAGCATTTGTTAGATATATGTATGGAGTAATTTCAAAAAATTAAAGAGCATTATATTACAAGAATATTAGATTCAAGTAAAAAAATATCTAATATAAGATTATTTTTATTCAAGAGATATACTGTAATTATTTTTGAAGATTTATGTGTTACTTTAGAGTCAATACAAAATCAAATTATTTCTTTTTTCATACATAGACATTATCAAAATATAAGTCTAATTTATATAATACAAAAATATTATCATGTCCCAATAATTATTCATAAGAATTTATTCTATTTAATAATGTTTAATAAAGGCAGTTCTTATCAGGATATGTTCAAGATTGCTGAACAATATACAGATAATGTAAAAGGTATATCCATGATTATTAATAGTTATTTATATAAAGAGAAGTTTATTGTGTTTGATCTAAATAAGCCTGAAGACAATTCATTTGCAATTTGATTAAAGTTTGATACTTTATTAGATTTGCAAAAGGAAATAGAATTGTGTCAAAAAAAAATAACAATAAATGTGAAATCCATGACACTAATACGGTAATAGATCACAGTAGTGATAAATAAATATTTATTTTTTTTTGTTATTTATTAATGTAAAAATAAAATACATTCTACTTGCTACTTCTTATATTATCAAGAAGATACACATATCTAGCCTTTTGTGTTGAAATTGAAGTAGATGTAAAAAATAAATAAACATAGTTTATTACTTTACAGTTATAAAATAAATATAATAGAAGTTTTTGTATTTCATAAAATAAGTTTATATATAAAAAAATAAAATCTAGATAAATCGTCAAAGGAAATTATAAAGTAGTTATATATGAATAAGTTATATATTAGTATGAGCAAGCTTTTAACTAATAAATAAATTAATTGAATAAATATTTTCAAGAAATGATTAATTATCTAGAATAAATATCAAATGTTATAAGGAGAGAATATTAATATTTGTTTTATTATGATAGTAAAAAATTAATACATATTTGATGAGTACTGAATAATATTAAGATATTTTTTTCTTTCCTCTTTGTCTCTCAGAAAAAAGATATATATGTTATTAGTATATGTTACTAATGTATGTTATCTAACTTTTTCTAGCTTTAAGTAGTTATTACAAAAAGATGAGATTTTAAATATCTTAAATAAAAATTCAAAGGTATCTATCCTATTTGCATCAATATTAATATTCAAAGTACAGAAACTTCAACATATCTTTCAATAAATAAATAGCATACATAATTTATGATAAGTAATAACTTATATAACTTATTTTCTCCATTAAAATAATTAAACTATCATATGATATATATGTTATAAAAGAAATTCAAATATAATAGAATCTACATACATCATTAGATCATATGATATATTGATTATTAAATTTAATTAATACTCCTTACACCTGTATATCTATGTGAAAAATATCTCATAAGCAGATATATAACATTGTTTTTACTCTTATCAGTCTTTATTTATATTTATTACAAAATTAATCTGATATGTTGTACTTTTTACAAATAGGAATATCGATAATTTGATTTGAATAATCAATTCAAGATATATACATATTTTTTGTTCTTGTGCATATATTATCATTTTTTCTATTGTAAAATAACAAATTCTACTCTAATCTATTATTTGCTAAAATAATGAAAAACGGTAAAAAGAAAGTGTCATTAATTTTTTTATTTATAATCAAGCAAGTGGTCATGGAATATATTGTGATACCTCAAATAATTATTTTTATCTATTATTTATTTTTATTTTTTTTATTTGTATTATTTATAAATATAGTTAATTTTATAAATCAGTGGCACAAATTAGAAATTTTATATTTAAAGATTATTATTGTTAATTTACTCAAGTATATATCTAGGTACAATACTTAAAGAAATATTCTGAAAATAGATAATGAAATTACCTTTGATAATATTATTTGTACCACTTGATAAAGAACCAATTTAGTATAGAAAATAGTATAGTTTGTCTACAGTATAAAGAGTACCAAATAAATATAAATATAAATCTCTTTAACTTTAGTTTTTTATTAGTTCGTTTTAAATCAAATCTTAATAGTTCAAGTTTAAGTTCCTTAGTTATTTAGTTCACAATCTTTTAATTTATTCTTTTAATAAATATTATTTCTTTTATCATTTCTAAAGATGGTATCTGTAATTATGAATTAAAAATTATGGCATTACTACCTGTATCACAATTATTAAGAATTTTAATAATAAAAAATCTGCAATTCTGCAATTCGCAATTGTCTACAATTTTTCAATTATTCTGTAATTCCTCAATTATTCTTCAATTTCACAATTATTTTGCAATTCCTTAATTATTCTGTAATTCTTTAATTATTTCGCAATTCTTTAATTATTCTACAATTTTACAATTATATTATAAGTCTACAATTATTTTATAAATCTGTAATTATTTCGCAAGTTTGGAGAAGAGTATCACACAAAGATAGGAAGAGAAAGAGAAGAGAGAGAAAGAAAAAAAGAAATAGAGAGAGAGAAAGGGAAGAGTGAGAGAGAAAAAAGAAAGAGTGAAGAAGAAAGAAAAGATCTTTAATTGTATATCTGTAAAGTCAATTTTGATGATTTCAACTTCTACAGATATTCCTACAAACCAGTGAAAGTCAAGGAGAAAAAAGGTAAAAGCAAAGACAAGGTAAGTATAAAGTTTTATTTTTTTTAAAAAAAAAGAAAAGAAAAAAATTCACCTTTAATTATATATTCGTAAAGTTGATTTTGATGATTTTGATTTTTACAGATGTTTCCACGAACCAGTAAAAGTCAAAGAGAAGAAAGGTAAAAGTAAGGACAAGTTAAATAAAAAATTTTATTATTTTTTTTAAAAAAAAAAAAAAAAAAAAAAAATTTACCTTAATCATATATAATTTTGACGATTTCGTCTTTTCACAAACTAGTAAAAGATAAAGAGAAAAAGGATAAAAGTAAGGACAAGGTAAGTATAGGTTTTTTTTATTGTTTTAAAAAATAAAAATAAGTTTTTATTTTTTTTTTAAAAAAAAAGAAAAAAAGATAAATATAAGTTTTTTTTTTAATAAAAAAATTTAATTATTAAATTACACAAATCCTTATAAAAA